TTTAACATTTATTTATTTATTTATTGCGTGTGTGTGTGTGTGTGTGTGTGGCCAGCTCAGCCCACCAGGGGGCGGGACTGGCTGGCATGTGGTGCTGGGGGATTGAACTGCGGTCCCTGTGCTTTGCCAAGCTTGTTCCAAGTAGGTGCTTTAGACCACTGAGCCATTCCGGCAGCCCTATTCCACTTTTTTAAGGATTTCTTTTTTGGAGTTGCTGGGGATTGAACCCATAATCTGTACATGTGCTTCACCACTGAACTACACCCCAAGTTCCTCTCATTTTTTTAGTTTAATTGGATTGAACCCATAATCTGTACATGTGCTCCACCACTGAACTACACCCCCAGTTCCTCTCATTTTTTTTTGGTTTCTTATTTAATTGGATGGATAGCAACTATCCAATTTAACCTTTCACCCTTCTCTTCTACTTAATCCTTGAAAAATGCTGAGTTCAAAAGCACTTTACTGCCAATAACTATCTTTAATGAATCTCTCCTATAATTTGTAAGGCAAAGTAGAAAAAAGATTAAAAGGCGAAATACCCAGAGGAACAGATGTTATTGGTAACCTGAAATGTAGTCTACTCACTACAAATGAAATCAAGTTTTTAAAATATTCCCTTTTGTCATCTACAGTATTATTTATGAAAAAAACCCATACATAATTTTTCAAATTGTTTCCTTCTGACCCCAGTGTGATTCTTTTGAGGGGACTAAAAAGAGATAAAATAATAGGAAATTACTGTTGCCTGGTTACTTGGCTTTGAAGAGAAATGCAGGAATTACACCTCCTCCAGGTGGAATGATCACCCATGACCACATTCCCTCCCTCCATACAATGCAGTCACAGGGTGGCTTTGGAATGTCACTGGAGATTCTTGCACTCTCAGCCTGACAAGGATCTTCAGAGATCACCTGATCTTTCATGATGAGTGACAGTGAAACTATCCCACACAGCCTCTGAAGACTGTAAGAAAGGGTTATCCATGCCAATCCCTGAATTATTTTCTAATTGCAGATAACTATTTTCAAACTGGCCCGACTTAGGTAAATTCTTTAAAAATACTCCATTCTTCAGGCTAATTTATTCTTCTTTTATGCTCCAGGAGCTACACAATATTAAGCAAGCAGACCATTATGAAATTCTAATATGCAAACTGTTCAACTTCCCTTCAGGCTTTTCTGGGTTAGCCCATGAGGTAGGGGTGTATGTGTACATACATACGTATGGGGGTTTTAACCCATGGCTTCACACTGAACTGTACCTCTAACCTTTTTATTTAAATAGGGTCTTGATAAGTCACTGATTGCTTACATTGGATTTGAACTTGTGATCCTCCTGCCTTAGCCTCCCAGAGTACTGGATTTTTCATATCTGGTTATGAGCTTTGGTTTTCCAAATACTTTTGTTTTTGTTGTGGTACTGGGGACTAAATTGAAGGATACTCTCCTACTGAGCTATAGCCCCAGCCCCCACTCCCCTTTTTCACTTACGTATTTGGTACAGGGTTTCATTACGAAGCTCATAGTGATCCTGTTTTCAGCCTCCCCAGCACTGGGATTACAGGTGTGTGCTACCACTCCTAGTCTCAGTGGCCAGCCTGGCATGCCCGGAGCCATGCTGCAGCATGTGGTGCTGGACAGTGAATCCCGATCCCTGCACTTGCCTGCAGGATCCCTGCAGGCACTGAGCCCACTAAGCTATCTCGTTGGCCCTGTATGAATATTTTAATACTAAATTTATTGAGACATGAGATTTATACAAGTTACCTTTGGCCACTACAATTACAAGAGATGCTTGAAGTGGTGGCCAGGAGCTTCCAGGCATTTATTAGCCTGTTGACTGCTGAGATGGGTATTTTTTTTTTAACAAGTTTTATTTATTTATCTATTTTTCTTTTTGGCAGAACCAGGGATTGAACTCAGGCCCTTGCACTTGCCAGGGAAGCGCTTATTCCACTGAACCATCTCCCTGGACCCTGGGTATGTATTTTTTTTGGTGGGCTCTGTCTATATATTTTAAGATGTCTATTACAACATTGGGGATCTATTTGTACACAAATTACTGTGTGTCTGAAACTCACACTTAACTAAGTTATCACATCATTTCATCTGGTAGACAGGAACTGACCTATTTAAAATGTTTTGGGTTAAGTGAAAATAATGCTGCCCTATGGTAATGACAGTCATATTCTTGTTTCTTGTTTTTTCTTTTTTAACTATTTGGTACAGGGTCTTGCTATGCAGCTCGGACTCACAGTAATCCTCCTGTCTCAGCCTCCCAGGCATTGGGATTACAGGCATGTACCACACCACCAAATTGTGGGGCTGGCACTGCATGTGATACTGGGTATCAAACCTAGGTCCTTGTGCTTGCGAGGCAGGCGCTTAGACAACTGAGCTATCTCCCCAGCCCTGTTTCTTGTTTTTGGGACAGGGTTGAGCTACATAGTTCAGGTTGGCCTTGAATATGTGGTGGTCCTCCTGCTTTAGCCTCTCAAGCACTGGGATCATAGGCATGAGTCACTATGCCTGGCAGCCATGTATTTTTTTAAAATGATAAATCTCTATAGCATCCACTAGGAATTATGTCATGTTCAAAAATTAAGGGTTTTGAGGTTAAGCTTAACAGCCTAGGTTGTATGGTAATAACAATAAACTTCTCTTCTGGAGGGTTAACAACCTAAGTGTGTAGTCCAAAATTAGAGATAAAAGAGGGCTGCAAGGAAAGTCAACATTTTGGCCCTAGCCTTTCAAGGTCAATTAAGACTCAGGACACATGAGAACTTGTACTGTAACATCATGTAACTCGGTAGTGTCCCAAATTTTCTGATCAAGGAGATTATGGGGCCAAAGAGGAAAGTGATCAATGATGTAAAGTGTGCCTAAGGAGAGTCACATGGAGAGAAAACATTCTCTCAGGCTTTCACAGAGAGCACATTGGCCAAGCAATGGCTGTGACTCATCCACATGGCTGACACTGACAAAGGTTCCACAATCTGAGGTATAGGATCTCAGGATAAATCCTGAGGGGATTTCACTGACCTTATCAGACCCAAAAGCTGCAACTCTTGTTGCATAGGTCCTGCTTTACCTCGGTCTCAACCATCCAGCAGAAAAGTATAAAAACGAAGTATAAGAAGTAAAGTCATGGTGTTATGTTGAGCTGTAGGGGACTCAGGTCAACAATTTCTTACATTGCCAGTCAAGCAGAAGACCCAATACTATTATGGGCTACTGGACTCTTTTAAAATATTTTGCTGAGTTAACACACTTATAATATTCAAATGACAGAACTAAACAAAAAAGGGGATACAGATGAATGTCCATTTTGTATCTGTGTATTCAAAGTGGTTAGGATAGATATATAGTTACATTCTCTTAATGAATAGAGGGATTTGTTCTAATAGTGTTTGTAAATAGGATATCATGTCTGCATCTTGTACAGCAGTTAACCACTAGGAAGAATGTACGCAATGTGTTAATTATTGAATCTGTCCTACCAATTTGGATTAAAACTGTCTCATTGCTATTTGTTTCTCAATAAAATTATGGAAAAAAAATTAAGGGTTTTATTTTGGTGGTGCTGTGTTGATGTCCTTGAATCCAGATCCCTGCACTTGCCTAAGCAGGCACTTAGGCAATGGTAATGGATTTTTATCTCAATATATTTTTAGGGAGAATTTGACTGGCCAATACGTTTGATTTCTTTTTATCATTTAACACAAGCTATTGCTAAATTTTACTTTAAACAAAAATGTGAACACAGACTCATTTTATTTAACAAGACTGAAAATAAAACTAAGACATAATTCACACAAGACCTTTTTGTGTTGTCCAAAACAATTCCTCCAGCTATCGGCCCAAGACAATGAATCCAGCAGTATCATTTAAAAATGATTAATATAACAAGGATCATTTCTCAATTATAAAGGGGGTCATTAAGCCTTTGTGGCTCTTTAAAAAAATTACTTTTGACTTTTCAGTCACCAGCCTACACAAAAGTAAGAGATGAAAAGGGATGGAGATATAAACACAACACTTAGCTATTCCCTCTTTTACAAGGAAACAACAAAAACATTGTTTAGAACCCTACTGAATAGAATCAGGTAGTAGTGGTTAGGTTTATAGACACAGAGTAACTGCTTTTAAAGAAAAATTTATCTTCAATTAAACAAATAGGCAAAGTCAGTAAATATGATCATCTTACTTTTACTACTTACTCTCTAGCTGGTGAAGTTTTAGTGTTGAAAGGTACCCAGCCCTCTAGAAACAGCCACAGATTTACAAAACATCTCCCTATTTGGAATCAATATACTGCTATGCTTTGTTAATAACGCCGTCTTCAATATAATCACAGGTCCCTCCAAATCCATTTTAGTTATATAAAAATCATTAACAAACTTTGGCTTCCTTACAAACATTCTGTCCTTATATTTAAAAAAGTGATTAAAAACAGCACTGAATAGCAATCACTTCTGCAAAGTTTGAGAAACATTCCACCAAGGTGACTATTCCTTGGAAAAGCCTACAAAAACTAAATTTTATAAACTTACTTATTTTGATAAAAGCTCCACTTATAAATAGCAGCCAGTACTTCACTGTCTACAAAATTGCAGGCTATCACATTTTACATGTTCAGAATGCAAATGGTTTAAGATCAGATTTTCTAATGTGTTAAAAAGACAGTCACACAGATCTGTTAGTCATCCCATGATAAGGAGACCACTGACTTCCATGATTTTACTCCTCGGACAGGGCCCACAACTACTGGACTGATGCTCCTAGGCATGACCATGTTTTCCATTTTTTTTCTTAAGAAGTGACATTAACATGGGAAGGCTACAGCAGAACTTTACTGAGGCTCATTTTTGGCCAGAGGCCAAGCAATGAAGGATGTTGGTACCCAGAGATGCTCAGGTAAAGAACCCAAGGGCAGCATTCTTTGGAGCAGAGGTAACGGTGCCACGTCCACTGGGGCGAAGTGATATTTGCTGAGGTCTGCCAGCAGGAACTCCCTGCATGACGGAGTGCTGGGGTGCCAGGCTGTCCTAACAGCGAGGACTCACTGAAGAGGGAGAAGGTGAGTGTGTTGTGCTGGTCTTGGAGGCAGACTGTTATCTAAGTACTTTCTCCTGCCTGCAAAAAGTGTGGCAGGGACTATGGTTTGAGAATTCCCAGTGCCAGGAATTAGAAAAGGGAAGGGCAGTGTGTGACAGGAGGGGGTCAACACCTTGTCTCTTCCTACGCTGAATGCCGCCCACATTCCCACCAAGCCTGATGCCACTTAGCACCAAGCTGCCCTGAGTACTACAACCATTTGATAAACCAGAAGTCCGGGCATGGAACTGAAACTCCTGGAGTGGGAACTGTGGCCAGAAAGTATTGTTCACAGTGTTCACCTAAACAGGGATATAATAGGTACTTTCTGTTTTTGCTTTCGGTGGGGGTAGCTAATAATACTAAGTGCAAACCCTAAACCTGAGGTGGCCATGGTTATTATGCAAGGTAAAAATATGCTTACAAATTAGCTCCAGATGGCTATCTTCCAATTAACAATCCTGTGCACCATTCATGGGCTGTACAGGTTGCATTCCCTCCTCCAACTCCAACTGTAAGATAAAAACCTTTTTCTTTTCTACCTTTTTGAGACAGTGTCTTGCTATGCAGTTCAGGCTGGTGTTGAGCTCACTTGGCAGCCCAGGTTGGTCTTGAACTTGAAATAATCCTCCTGTCTCAGCCTCCCAAGTGCTGGGATTACAGGTGTGTGCCAACACACCCAGCCCAATATAAATCTTTATGTCTGATCTCATCCTAAATCAAAATAAAACACTGGGAATGCATTGTGCCGCTTTCATCATGAGCCAGAGGGTGTGGACATGAACTCCTACCTCACATCCACTGGAGATTTACCACCAGCTCAACCCCTAAGTGGCTGTGTGGAGCTCTGGATTTAAAATCACAAGCTACATAGGATGGGCTCCCCATAGCATTGTGTCAGACTCAGATACAAGCCAAGGCATTATGCTACGAAATTCCTTTGTGACCCTTCCTACACGAGTGGCTGTGGAGCGCTTCCCTGTAGCACAACAGTAAAAAGACACTACTAATACACACACAATTTGCCAAACAGATACAAAAGTAGCTAATGGCTATATTAATCCCATCTCAGCAGCTAGGAAGACACTTATTTGTTCCTGTCTTCTTGATGCTGAGTGGAACCAAAGACAGATTACTTCAGAAGAAGAAACCAAATCACAGATTAGGTGAAAAGTTTCAAAAATACTTCAGTAGTAGAGAGAATGAAGCCCTGACTCTGGAAATATAGTCAGAGCCACTACCCTGAGCCCCAGGCAAAGGAGCGTAGTGTATAGAAAATCTTGCAAAACCTAGCACCAGTTCTTCCTTAGGAGGGCTCCAAAACCAACCAACCAACCAACCAACCAACCAACCAACCAACCAACCAACCTTGCCTCTGCAACGACCCATCTGTGCACCGACAAATCTGCCAGGGAAGTCACAGGCTCCCTGCAGCTATGTCTACTGCTCAGCTGTGAGCCCCAGAAGCTAGGGGTGAGGAATCAAATCACGTGGAGGTAGCAGCATATATCACACACACTGCCTCTTAGTGATAGCATTCCTAACGAAGCCACCTTCACAGCCAGCGTTAGTGCCTGCAGGTCAGAGGTCAAAGCCATGGTTTACAAATCTTAGTATAAGTCATAGAACCTACTTACCTGAATAAAACCCCAAATCATCAATTCCTACCCTCCCTTCCCAGGAAGGGGAATAGATTTAAGTTCATTTTTTTCCCACAACAACTTGAGGAGTCCAAGAAGGTAGTAAGGGAGGAAGGAGCAGTCTGTTTCACTTTAAAAAATAAAGATCTCTTTAAGTGTCATCTGAGGCTGTATACTTTCTGTTCCTCAGTTCTCCTTCGCTGTGGCCTCCACAGGCTCCTCTTCCAAGTCAATGGTCAGCTTGTCCGCCAGCCCTTCAAACTGCTTGCCCAGGGTGCCAGCAGAATCCATGAACATATTGGGAATGTCTTTGCCAAAGTAAATCTTGCTGTTGGAAGCAATGGCCTTGTATTTCATCAGCTGTAGATATTCTGGGGTCAGCTTCAACTGTGGCCAACAGAAAAAGAAGGCTCAGGTGAGATGAATGTTAAGAGAAAATTGGGGTGGCTCCTCTTTTCATTTTCATATGGGGGAGCCCAATCTCTCAGGTTTCCCTGATAACACACGTAACAGGGATTCTCTCAGAGAAAGTGGACTATAGCTGTCCAGAATAGTAAGAGTTTTAGAGGTTTCACCTTTTTTGTTTTGTGTTTAGTACAGGGTCTACAGGGTCTCACTATATAGATTGTTTTTTTTTTGTTTTTTTTTTTTGTGGAACCAGGGATTGAACTCAGGCCCTTTATTCTACTGAGCCATCTCCCCAGCCCTCACTACGTAGATTGGACTCGTAGTGATCCTCCTGTTTTCAGTCTCCCAAGAGCTGGGATTACAGGCATGCACCATCATGCCCAGTCTCAATTGCTGCCTCAGCATGCCCTGTGGGCGGGACTGGCATGGCTTATGGTGCCGGGGATCAAGCCCTGGCCCTTGCGCTCTGCCTAAGCAGGTGCTTTAGTCAGCTGAGCTATCTGACCATCCAGAAGTTTCACTTTTGTGTTAAACATGAAAACACAGAAGTTAAACACAGAAGCTTCCATGCTTAACACAAAGGTGAAACTTCTATGGAGGCCTCTTGTTCCAGGGAAGCACCTGTCCCACACAGTGCAAGGTCCTTGAGGGCAGCAACAAGAGACTTGGTGTGGTGGCCATCCAACACTAGCAACTCTCGACATACAACCCCACCTAACGCCATGCTGTGCCTTTACCTTATTCGCTTCAGCTATTTTCAGAGCAGTGTAGCACTCAGCATCGGCCTTTGCCTTCTCACGGGCCAGAAATGCAGCGTCTGGGGGTGGGACAGAGCAGGGACCATCAGGAGACTATGTGTGCACTGGTGCTGTGGCTCAGTGGTAGAGTACCTGCTTCACATGCATGAAGCCCTGGGTTCCATCCCTAGCACCAACCCCTCAAAACAACCAACCCAAAACAGACTATGCTCTGTTCTCTGTAACTTTCCTCCTGATAGCCTCTGTGACTTTGGGAAGGCTGCCTTCTTCCCTATGCTTGGTTTCCTCATTTGTAGAGCTTGGAGAAGGCTTTTCCCCTATTATACTAGTTTTTTTTTTTTTTTTCTTTTCAAAGTTTTATTGATAAACATATAGCAATGAGACAGTTTCAAATCAAATCGAAAGTACAGTTTCTATTATACTAGTTTTAAGGATCAACCAAGAAAGAAAAATTTTTGAAAGCATCTATCCAGGACAGAAACTCATGGAACAATACTGTTGCTATGGCTAAAATCACGCACTGATAGTATTATCTACAAAAGGCTGCCACCCACAGACACCTCCTTTTTTGTTTTCTTTATAGCTCCATATTTGTGGAGCAATGTGGTGGTAGCCTCTGCCTCAGGCTCCAGTTCCAGCACTTTCTTTCTCAGCCCTCTCATGCTATGGCTCAAGCAAGGGAAGCTCAAGACTCTGAATATGGCCAGAACCCCATAAATGAATACCATAAGTGTAAAGAATATAGCACCTCTCCAAGTCCATTTTCTTTTTATTTTCACCAGTCATCTGAAAACATGCAAAAGCTGGCACAATTCTAAGAGAATTACATCCTGTGGTCCAGACCAACAGCCTTTTGGACTCAAGCAATGTACTTTCCTATTCTGCTCAGACTCTGGCTTTCTACTAAGCAGAGGCAGATCTGCAGCACCTACTGCTTGCTTTAGGGATGAGGTCAGCCTCATGGAGCAGTGCTGGCAGCAGAATGCCTGGGGAGGAAGGTGGCATGTGTGCAGGTGCCGCACCACAACACAGCTGCCTCAGTGTTGGGGCTTATGAGAGAGAAAACGTGCTGTTTTGCTCAGAGCCCCCAATGGGGAGCTACTGCTCTGTAAAATCCCAACTGGCTTCTCAGTGGCCCCTCCAAGCCTGATAGGCACCATGAGTACAACTGGAGACAGCACAGAGGGCTGGAGCTGACCTGAGGGCCCATTTGTATCCTGGAATTTGCTTGAGAGAAGGCATCATGTGAAGTAAAATCAAAGATAGTAAGGAGGAGGTAGAAACACAAAGCTAGTAAAGAACACTTCAGCTCCAATGTTTTTGGTGCTGAGCAAAGTGTCTCTTTGGAACAATCTACTGACCCTAAGTGTGGACTTCGAGATCACAAAATTGGCACCACCTGACTTTTGAGGGAGTGCAAGTAAGGTGAGGCTGAGTGAGCTGCCACTGTGGCCAACGTGAGCCCCTGTAAGGCTGTGGGCTCCAGGCCAACAGGGACCGTGATTTCCTTTTCTTTTGCCTAGCCGGGTGCCTGTGTACAACAGTGCTCAACATCTGCTGAGTGAAGGAACGGATCTCTCAAGGCACTGGATGCCAGCCTAGTCGAAGATGTGTCCCAACCCAGTTTAAAAACAAAGTAAGACTCATGTTTCAGGGAGGTTATGAAACTGGAGAACACAGATTCATAAGCCCAAGGAGTGACCCTGTCACATGCTTGCCAAAAAGCAGAATTGAGCAAAACTCAAGTACCAATGCCACTTCTGCTCACCTTCAATTTCTGAAATCCTTTTCTCCGTTTCCTTCTCCATGACCTTCTGCCCGTAGGTGATTTCTGCAACCTGAGCCACTTTTTCTGCCTCTGTGTAAATGAGAATGAAAAAAGAGCCACCTCATTCTTTGCCTAAGTGGTGGTGGTTCAGAGGGACAGTGGCTGTCCTCGGGGGCTGCTCCAGGCACACTGGGGTGCAGCATAGCAGCACTGCTCCATTGAGGCGGGTACCACTGAGATGGACACTGGGGGAAACCAGCCACGAAGCAGAGCTTTTCTTCTGAGGAGGATAAAGACGACCTCTCTCTCTCTCTTTTTTAATTTTAAGATTTCTAACTTCTAAATCATAGGGATTCTTCTTTCAGAGGAGTGTCTGCTTTTCTTTTGAGACAGGGTCTTGCTATGTTCTCTAGGATAGCCTTGAATTCACTGGGATCCTCTTGCCCTGGGCTCCCAAGTGCTGGGATTACAGGTGAGAGCCACCTCCCCGTGGGTCCCAAAGGAGTGTTTTAAGGACTATTTCTGTGAGGCACTTCATTTTAGGAAGCACTCAGCTCGGTTGGTGGTCCTATAATGTAGTGACCAGGAGCACAGTCTCTACAGCCAGAGTCCCTTAGCCCCCTACTTATTTCCACCTGGCCATGGACCTATTACTTAACTCTCTGTGCTTCAGAATGAGGTCATGACAGCGTTTCCTTCACAGGGTGGCTGTGAAGACTGAGCTCCTTCATGCATCAAGTGGCAGGAAAGTGCACAGCTCACAGTAAGTGTGCAGGATGTACTGGCCACTAGTTTAGGATTACTAATTAACATGAAAACCTCCTTCCACTTGAAAGGTAGTGGAAACTCTTCCTCCCCCAACTCCAGCCCTCCTGCCCCAAACAGGGGAGCACAGAACCATTATCAGACCAATGAGTGCTTTCTTCCGCTCTGTCTCAGCCTCCTTCTCTACCACCTTCTGTTTCTGAGCTGCTATGAGAAGCTTCGTCTTCTCACTTTCCCTGAAAGGGAAGAAAGTAGGCAGCTGTGAGGCCACAATAGAAAGCTTCCAAGGAATGTCACCATCTGGTAGAGAACCGAGCTCTTCCATATGGAGAGGTACTCTAACTGCTCACTCTCCCCTGGAAGGCTGCTCTCGGGCCCAGGCAAATGCCGACCTACTGCAGATAGCAGCATGGCTCTTGTTGAAGAGCTCTGTGTTGAAGGCTTGGTTCCCAAAGCAGCAGTGGATAGAGGTGGGACCTTGAGGAAGTGCCTGCCTCATCATAGCTCCAATCTCATCAGCAGACCAGGCTCCTTGTGCCTCACTGTGCACTAGGTTTGGAGGAAAAGGCTGTGTTACAAAGGGGAGCTCTCTTTGCATCCTGGCTGCCAGGAGAGACACAGCCTTGCATCACCACCTGCACCCAGCTGTGATGCTCTGCCTCCCCTCAGCTCCACAAGAGCCAGTGACTGCACTGAACTTGGTGAAAACCCTGAGCTGAAATGAAGCCTTCTGCTTTCAAGTATCTTGACGTCACAGTGGCAGAGAGCTAACACAGCTTTCCTTTGCCTTAGGATAACTTGTGGGAAAGAAAACCTAACATAAAGGCCAGATACAGTGGCACTAGTCCCTAGTATGCCAGTAACTCAGAAGACTGAGGTGGGAGGATCACCTGAGCCTAGGACTTCCAGATCAACATGGACAACACAATAAGACTCGATCTCAAGCCCAAGTGAAACTTGAATGCTTTCTAGTAAGCTACACTTGCCTGTGCACCATCTCTCTCTCTTATTTCCACTTCTGGCGTGAGACACTGAACACAGCACATAGCCACTGGCCTTTTAAAAGCGCCACTGCTCTCCAGGGCTCCCCTGTGCTCTCAGTCACAGTGATAAGAGCCTCGTAGGGCCTTGATTGCCACCCAATTTGACAGCGTGACAGTCACGCTGGAATCTAGCAGGTGCTCAAGAAAGGGAGTGAGTGTGAAACCTGATGTGGCTGGGACAGGGCATACTCACATCAGCTCATAGTTTCTTCGGATTGCCTCAGGGATATTGGGCTTGGTCACCCGCACAGCCTAGAGAAGGACACATAGAGCAGCTGCTGAGAAAGTCATGAAGCTGGGGACATACATTTTCACAGGCCCTAGATCCTCCTCTCCTGGGCAGAAGGCACATCCCTGGGATAGAAGGTGCTATGTCACTGAGGGGGACTCTCCCCCAGAGGCAGAACTTACTTGGATGACAAGCCCAGGGGCCATGGAGGTCAGGTCCTGCTGCAAAGCCAGTTTGAGATTTTCATCAATCTGATCTGGAATCAAGAAAGACACAAAAGAAGAGTTGTTATAACCTCTGGAAGGTGGAGGGCACGGAACAAGTGGGAATACCAGGTCAGGAATGGACCTTACATGCCAAAGGTCTTCCCAAATAAGTGTACTTGACAAAGTCCAGAAACCCGAAGGCCTACTGGACTGCTGAAGGCGCCTACCTAAACAGCCTGGACATAAGCAACACAGGAAAGTATTCTTTCTGTGGACAGGAAGTAAAAATTACCTTTGTTGTTGAAAATGTACACCGTAAGCTATAAAAAATTGAGCTTAAAAAAAAAAAAAGAACAATCAGCATATTCCTTATGTCAGGCAGCAGCTTTTCCCCAGCAAGAGAAGGTGGGCCCACATTTCCAAGGAAGCAAGAACAGTTATGCTGGATCCTTTGAAAATAGGTGAGCAATTAAATCTAGTAATTTTAGAACTTTCCCAAAGATAAAGAAAATAAAACCAGCAGCAGCCCCAAAGATGAAGAAAATAAAACCAGCTGAAACTCCTATATAGCCACTGTCAGCTGCTGTCTGCTTTAAGTGGCCATTTCTCGGCTATCAGGAATGACAGGTCTCCCTTCTCTTACAGATGACCACAGAAGCCAAGTAGCAGGCAAAACTGAACCTGCTGACTGGGGTATAGCTCAATGATAGAGCATATACCCAGTGTCCTGCAAGGGTCTAGATTCTATTCCCAGGACAACAAAAGAAGCTGTTTAATTACCATACTTGGACTGTTAGGATTTTATAAAAGCGTTTTCTCCAACTATTGTAGCAGTAACAAAGGACTATAATGTTGCTACATACTGATAACTTGCAAAAATCTCTTAGCAATGAAGAAGAAATGCCATAAAGTTAGCCAGCACCTCCCACCAGATATGGGCCTAACACTATGACAACTACAAACAAATAATATTAATTTTTTAATAAAAATTACATTTTAGTTTTTTTTTTTTTTTGGTGGTGCTATGGACTGAACCCGGTGCTTTGCATATACTGCACATGTGCTCTACTTCTGAGTTGCACCCCTAGCTCCAAGCCAAACTTTATGTGGCCTTATTAGCTGGCCCTGGTGGCACATGCCTGTAGTTCCAGCATTCTGAGAGGCCAATGCAGAAGGACAGCAAGTTCAAGTCCTATCTGAGCAACTTAGTAAGACTTTGCCTCAAAATAAAAAATAATGGGCTGGGAATGTAGCTGAGTGCAAAGGGTTCAATCCCCAGGAATCCAGGAAAAAAAAAAAAAAAAGAAAGAAAGAAAGAAAGAAAGAAAGAAAGAAAGAAGGCCTGATGGGCTGTATGCTCCCTAAATCAATAACATCATTTACCAGCCCAAGTTGTATCTAGACACAGTAGAAATCCATGGCCTGGGTGAAAGCTAGAAGAAATATCTGGTACAGTGTTTCAGTAATACTACAAACACGTCACCTATACCTTAGGATGATGATAATAAATTCCAACTAAGTTATATCACTAATTAAACACAAGGGGTTCTGCAAGTTATCTTCTGAGCAAGAATTAGAAAATATTCTTATAAAAAGGACAAAAAGGAGACAGCAGAGGAAAAAGTGATGAAGGTCGTGAGTCACATCTGAAGTGTAGGCTGTGGCCAGGAATACAACTCAGGAACACACCCTGTAAGTGCAAGGTCCTGAGTTCGAGTCCTGGTACCAAAAAAAAAGCAGAGGCTGTGAATGTCCTGGGGAGGGAGCTGTAGAACAATCTCCTGAACCTCTGGAGCTTAAGGACACCATCATTAGACACAAGTTTCCTTCATGGATTCCCAGATTCAAGGCAAAGTAGTCCTTGCTGGCAAGAGTGAAATTGGGGGAAAAAATTTCAAAGGAAAAATACTTTCTCGGCTCCTCCATACAAAATTTATACTTCACTAAGCTACTGAGTTTATGTATAAGACAGTAAGTCTGTAATGCAGAACTATTTAATATTTTAATTTTTTCTTCAGGGACATGAGCGATACTTTGTCCTCCAGTGTTTCACATATTTTACAACATTCATTTAATGGAACAAGTTCTAAAACAATAGCTAGACAGAAAAACCTGTATTTCATGCAATTCTATTATTTTGAGGAGATAAAAATCAGGCAAATTTACCAGCTTTCTTGAAGACACAATGAATCCAAAAGAAAAAAAAAAAGAACAAAAAACCTTGTAAAATAAATTTAGATTCATTTCCTCCTGCAGTAAATGAAGTGATTTTTGATGATTTCCTAAATCTTAAAACAGCACAAAAGGTTATTTGCTTAATTATAATGAAAGGCTATATATTAATTATTTCATGTTCCAAAGACCATTCTTGGACTAGAGCTATGGCCTGGAAGTCAAGCACTTGCCTACCATGCATGAGGCTCTCGGTTTGATCCCCAGCTCTGGGAAAAAAAAGGTCTTGCTCAAGGTCTGTTTTATGAGAATTCCTAGAAAATTTTCCAGTGCTAGTTTCAAGAAAAGTTCAATAACTTTTAGTACTGGCTATTAAGAAATTTCTAGAAGCAAGTTTATTATTTTTTTCCATTTTAAAAATTAATTAATTAATTTTGCGGTTCCAGGGATTGAACTCAGGACCTTGTGCTTGGCAGGCAGCCACTTGTGCCGCTGAGCTATATCCCTAGCCCCTTCCATTTATTTTAAAAAACTTGTTAGTATATGTTTGGAGTAAATGATGATTGCAATCACTGTGGTAGAAGTAAGTTTAAACAGCAGAAACAAGCCACACAATTACTGAACTGTTTTTTCTTTCTTTGCCACTGAAAAGGACAAAGGTGTCCAATTAAAAATGTGGATCCCTTTGTTTAGTGTTTTTCTACTCACTTCTACAGGGACAGATGAAACACACACACACACACACACACACACACACACACACACACACACTCACGGGAGCTGTAAGCCACGGCTCTCCTTTCTAGAGTACACTGTGACCAATGTCATTCTTATCACCTTTGCGCAAGTGGTGTGGGACATGAGAGCATGGAAGAAAAGAATACCAAGGTGACAGCTGGCTCAGAATGCAAGGTTCTAGTTTCAGCTTTGCTATCAACTACCACCTAGTTCTATGACCTCCTTGCTGTGGGCCTCAGTGACAGGTAGGAGAGGAAGGTTCTAGTTTCAGATCTGCTATCAGCCAGCTCTGACTTTCTCACTTTGGGCCTCTTCAGATGAGGATACTAGGTCATATAACCTCTAAGTTTCTTCTAAAGACGATACTATCTTCATTATAGGATATTTTAGGGACAGTGAGAACACATTTTCATTCCTGTCCTGTTTCTGGCCAGAAGCAAATACTGGGGCCAGTGAGATAGCTCAGTGGACTAAGCTCCTGCTTAGGAAGCGCAGGGACTGGGGTTCAATCCCCAGTACCATGTGCTGTGCTGGCCCTGCTCCAGGGCGCACTGAGTTGGCCACAGAGACGGTGCATGGTGGTGCACACCTGTAATCCCAGAGCTGGGAAGACTGAAAGCAGGAAGGTCACTGAGTCTGAGATGTGTAGTGAGACCAAATACATTTAAAAAAAAAAAAGCAACTACTGCATTACACAGCTAGGCCTGTGTTCAAGCTTGCCCACACTGAGGACCTTCCTTCACTGTCATCAACATCATTCAGGAACACCCTGTGACCTATTCCTGAGCACCATCCACACCACCCTATGGCAGCTCAGGACTAGGCAGTGGGGGCCTTCTTACCAAACAGCTCAATATAGACCTCCTGAAGTGTGTGCACACTGCAGAACTGGTTCAGCTCATGGTGGATCTTGTTGAAGATGAGCGCCTTGTCGTAGTCGGCGGTGTAGTTCTTCACTATATCATATACTGGAAAGATGAGGACAGAAGTCAGCGTAACAACACACAAGACTCCATTCTCCAACTTTCCTTCCAACAGCAGTACTCCTTTCCTAAGGTGCCATGCGAGACTTGGGGGAGGCAGGATTTGGGGGAGAAAATGGAAGACATACCTGCATTTGGGACCAGGAAGTTCACCACTTCAATTCTATCGAAGTAGATCATCACACCACCACTATTGGAGGGAGAAGGGGCACAGATGTCACTAAAATATGATGTAGTCTTCTAAGATGTGAGACTGACAGATGAGAAGCATTTGTGGCACATAAATCTTGGATCTCCAAGATCTGAAGAGTTCACTGCAATGACCCAATCTCCTGAGGAATGACACCTCCTAAAAATACCTCCTCAGCCAAATGAGACCTTTAGGGTTCTCATACAAAAACAGCAGCTGATGTTTTTCAAATCAGTCATTGTTTTGTGTGAATTTGTGCCCCCAAAGCCTCGTGCAGTCACTGAGACACAGTTCTAGAGTTTGTGACTAATTCACGATCCAAGGCTGGGCTCAGGGGTCTGAGTACTGCTGGGATTATGGGTGTGAGTGCTATGCCCAGCCCGGGGCGGAGAGCCTGAATGTAACACAAAAGAGACAGACTTGCCCTCTGTAGCCATTGTTGCTCTTCCCTTTCGCTCTTGCTGTTTTGCTGCCTTCTGCCACCATGAACTGCTGTCCTCTGCCATGTGCCAGTCTGCCTTGAAGCCAGCTTTGTATGCAGTGAAACCTCCAGAAACTGAGCTAAATAAGCCTTTCCTTCCTTCCTTTTGCATGTCGGGTATTTGTCCCAGCAATGAGAGAAGAATAACTGAGACAGTAATGTCTTTTGCCGAACACACGTCACCATGGAATTTTATGGTCAGTGTTTCTCACTTTGACTTTACCATCACTTTAGTTCAAATATTAATTCTAGTAAAACTGATCATGGCACGCCAGCTCTTTTCAAACCTACGATCATCTCTCCTGCACTTCAATGTCTGGTTTCCACACTGAGGAACATAGTCAGAACATAGTGAGGTAGGGAGTAGGGAATTTGGTAAAACCATCAAGACACTGTGTCTTCTGTCTCTTCCTGCAGTCAGCTAGCGAGCCTGCCAGCCCTTCCTCTTACTTATTGGGGCTTAACGGCTTTATTCTGGGCATCTTACCTGGTTCCACAAGGTACATTCTTTACTTCATCTGTCTGAAGTGTGGTCTGGGAACAGAAGAAATACAAATGCTGACTAGTAGACAGTGACAAGGTAACTTTGTCAGAATTCAGAATCCTGAATGCCCTCGTCCTTGTTTACTTGTTTGGACTGAGCTTTGCCTATGCTACGCAGGGATATCCTACTTGCTCCCCGCTCCTTATGAAATAGGAGAAAATTTAACTCTCAACCTTCTAGATGTCGAATTTGCCAAAAATGTGTCCCTTGACATCAAAAAACAAATTTTACGGACGTATAGGAAGGATTTTTATTGAGATAGCTCCTGAGAGATAGAAGGGGACCTGAAGAGGACATTTCTCTAGGGGGGAAAAATTACTTTATTATTTTTTTTGCGGTACCGGGGATTGAACTTGGGACCTTGCACCTACCAGGCAGGCGCTTATGCCGTGGAGCTCTCTCCCGGGCCCTCTCCAGGAATATTTAATACAGCAAAAATTGTGAGGTAGGTACAAAACCACAAACTGGGTACAAATATAGGTCAAATTATAATCAGCCAATTAAGATTACAAGTGTAGGTGCTCAGCTACTACTGATCCAATAGAAAAGCAGGTAATGCAGCAAGGGAACAAGGAGAGAAAAAGGCCATTTTGGGGAAGGGATGGGTCCAGATGTTCTGGTCACCTACTTGGGCAACTGATGCTTATCTGTACTCACTGGACCAGGTGGTGCTAACTGTAGTATAATCTCAACTTGTCCCCTAGGGAAGCATGCAAGTCTGGCCATTGAGCTGTGCCTCTAGCCACTGTGTTGTGTTCTCACCTTCTGCACCAAGTCCTTTGGTGCCCCATCTGACTAGTTATTAATTTGTATCTGTCTATAGTATTTATAGGTGTGATTCTAAAGTAAGCAAAGGTACCTACTCTTCTTTCACTGTAAGCTGACACTGGCTTATGAATCTTAAAAATCTTAAGACTTTTAACATGTTTCTGCTAGCTTTACACTGGTGGCACATGCATGACTGTCTCGCCTAGCAGCCTGTACCACTGGTGATACAAATGAATCTCATCACTTTGTCTTTTTACCAATAAAAGTAATTAAAAAGCTGCTTGATGGGACAGTCATGAATGCATAACTAGCAGTTTAAGCTGCCTGGCAGCAGGACATATGAATTATAGCCTGGCCCACAACAAACTTGTTAAGGAATCTTAGAAACCTTAAGACTCTTCCATTTACTAGTTCTGAAACAGCAGACTCCTCATTTAACATGCTCAGCCCATTCTCAGGACTACCGTGAGACTCAAATGACAGACATATAATGGACCAGAACACATTGTGAAAGCCACAGAGCATACTAAGTGGGAAAATGACTATGTGGGATCTTTGTATCTTGCTGGGTTAGTTTAAGTTATCCTTGATTCTTCTTAGTTGGACATATTCATAGATGTCTACTCTAATCTAGCTGAGCTTTAGATGTGTCACAACTAATTTTACTCTTAATTTAGATGTCATACCCCTGCCCAATCCAACTTCCTTCCTCCTTCTAAAAAAATTAAGCTCATGTTTCTGAAGTTCAAATAAGAACCAGCAAAACTGTCATATTGTATTTCTTCATATTATGGTAGCCTATGACTTGACTTTCTTCTACCGTGTATCTAACCTGTTGGCTTTGCTTAGGCTGTAGAGGGTAAGCAGGAATTGTTTTGGGTCATATATAAAATATACGATATTGTTAATAAAAACAACTTTTCTTTTAAAAAATATAGAATTAAAAAAAAAAGAGGGTGAGTGGCTTGTGGACCACAGATTGGACATACCTGTAAAAGACTCTTGTCTGGCTTTGTCTTTTTTTTTTTTTTTTTTTGCGGAACTGGGGATTGAACTCAGGCCCTTGCACTTGCCAGGGAAGCACTTATTCCACTGAGCCATCTCCCTGGCCCCCTGGCTTTGTCTTGAGGTGAAGAAATAATTACCACTCGCAGCTGATGGGCACAGGCTCCACTCAGCTATTTCAAGAATCGAGTAAAGCTCCAAGAGTTTAAGTCAGTCTCTGAAAAGGCATTTTACTCACCCAGGGTCTCAATAATTTCAAACTGGCCTTGAGCTCATGTCCTAATCAACAACCCAAACTTGCAGTCATCTGACCACAACATACAGGCCAAACATACCTGCACAGATTTATACGACGTGATGAAAGGAAGCATGAGGTGGAAACCAGGGCCACTGGTGGAGGTCAGCAGAGCACCGCCTCTGCAGAAGCGGGGAGAGGCAAGGTCAGTGCAGAAACAGCATGTCAGATCAAGGCCATGTTGGCCAACTTTCCTGTCAGCTTCCTAAATGTTTAAGAGTGACAGGTGCCACAGCCATGTTCACAGATCACTTTCTGTATTCATTTCAACAAGCCTAATGATAAAACGTAAAACCATTATTTGTGCTTTTACAAGGAGAAAACATGTATGCAGGCTAAGTGAAATAAAGATAGCAGAATTCCTGACTACATTCAAGATAAGAAAGTTTAAGGGCTGGGGAAATAGCTCAGTGGCATAAGTGCCTGCTTGGCAAGTTCAAAGTCCTGAGTTTGATTCCTGGTACCACAAAAAAAAAAAAAAAAAAAAAAAAAAAATTCAATAGCAAGACAGTTTGTTTTACTTTGTTGTATCAGTTTATTTTGTGCCAATCCATTAGAGCAGTAACATGTAGTAACACAGTTATCAACTGGCTGTGCTACTATTGGAGTCCAGTGACATGGCCAACTCAAAAGAATTTTATTTTCTAATTATTTTTGTCTTTTTGAGACAGGGTCTTACTACACAGCTGAAGCTGGCCTTGAGCTCACTTTGTAGCCTAGGCTGGTCTTGAACTTGCAATAATCCTCCTGCCTCAGCCTCCCAAATGCTGGGATTACAGGGGTATACCACCACACCCAGCAAAAGAAGAATTTTAAATACACCTTAATTTTTGGTGCTGGGGACTGAACCTAGGGCTTCACACATGTTCTATGACTGAGCAATGTCCCTAGCTTCAGCTGGAGTTTTAGAACTTGCCATTAACAATCCAGAGATAAACATCATAAGACACATTTAAGAAGGGGTTCATAAAGACCTAAAGAAAAAATCTTGGTCAAAGTTACAAAAAGGAAAGCAGCCCAAGATTTACAAGTGCTTCTTTGGTTTATACTATGAAGTCAAAGATAATTTTAAAAGAACAATGAACAGTGATATAATGTGCTCTTTCATTGTAAGGAGCATTGTTCCAAGGACTGTCTTGATTGACATAAAGCAATCTGCAGGACTTTTAGCTTTTCCTGAAATGTTCATTTTAGAAGAGCCTCCCAAATTAGAGTCAGCTGTCTTCTGAAAATGCCATCAAGAACTGGGACTCAGAACTTTTAAAGAGGTAACCTGGTAGCGGGGAACCAAGACTCCAAAATGAATACAGGAGAAAGTATGTCAGGAATGATCTGCAAGAAATGCTGGTTCCTTGAGGCTTGTCTCTAAATCTGCAAACATACCCGTCAGCATCATGACAGAATATAAGGAGGTTTTCAACTACACACACACACACACACACACACACACGCAGGCCCTATCTTGTCACTGACATAAAAGCTAAACCTGAACAGACTGCCCTATTCAATAAAACAGAAACACAGATATTCAGCAGAATCTGCAGAAAGGGAATCATCTAATAGGAAGCTGCAAGCTTGTCTGTGTCTGTCTGTCTTGTCTTACCTGTAATATACTCCAATATGTCCTTCTTCTATCTTGTGCACTGCTGAGAAGAGACAGGCACACAAGAAACTGGAAGCCACCGCCACCACTGCTCCCAACTGAGCCATCAGTGAACTTTTATCCTAGGAAAAAGATATGGGAAAAATGTGTGGTCTGACATGAAGGCGACAAGCTATGCCAGCGAGAGGCTGTCACCAAGCTGAGCTTCCTGAAAGTGAGTCAGGCAGCCTGCTGTAGTAGGAGCACAGGACAGATGCACACTCCTTTCTTCCTGCTGTCAGTCAACAAACCCCTGCCTTAACTGGACTCATATTCTCCACCACTTTGAAGAGGTGGCATTCTCTGCCCTACGGAGAATCAGTGCCAACTGGGCCTGTATAGAACACAGCTTTCTTTTCTTGTGAATGCGAATGTGCTGTCACTGGAGCGACTTGCGCTAGTAAAGGGAAGACAGGCAGCTGCACTAGGCTGGCCCAAATTACAGAGGATGCCAAATGACAGGCAGTTGTGGCTGTGTAATTCTGGTCAGAGCCTCCTAGTTCTAATTGCTGCCATTTCAAAAAAACCACCGTTTCCTCCTCTCAGACGCTAGAGACAGAGACAGCAGGCAGCAGAGTTCCAGGGCTGGATTCTCCAGGCTTTTACCCATCTTCTCAGATACCCCTTTGGACCTAGAAGGGACAGGGCTCTGCGGAAGACACAACCCACACCCTCAGCTCCTTTGAGTCTAGGAAGAATTGGGGAAACTGAGTGCTCCAGGCTGGGGCACTGTACGCTTTCTGGTTTAACTGCGTTCAGGCACCAGGATGCGAGGAGGTGATGGTCTCTAGGTGGAACCTCAACTTCCTGGACACTGGAGGCTCTGGAAAAACTCTCGTGACTGACAGCAGCGTCGGGCGGGTTGCGCCCGGGCCATGAGCGCGGCTCTAACGCGGCTGGGCGCGGAGACGCGGGGGGCGCTCGTTCAGCTGACGTCGGCTAACCCCGACTCTCGAGGCGCGGCCGCGTCCCCTGCGCTCGGGACCCTCCCGGGTCGCCCCTGCCCACCTCGCGCCCCGCCCGCCCTCCTCCGGCACCGGCTCGCGCACCCGCTCGCCTCTGCTCAGGCCCTCCTGGGGCTTGCGGGGAGAGAACGGGCACAAGGGCTTCTCTCGCTCCCGGAGGACAGAAAGAGGCTGCTGGGGCCGGGGCCCCGGAGCCCTGCAGCCCCGCGACTCGGTAGCGGAGGCCCCGAGCGCGCACTAAAGGGCGGGGGCCGCGTACCACGCTGTCCCTCCAGGCGCTCCGTACTCGTCCGAACCCGCGTGCAACCGCAGAAACCGCCACACCACTCAGCACGCTACTTCCTTCCGGGCCAGTCGCTCCGTTGACGCCATCAGTTTACGCGAAAGGCCACACCCCCTTACCCGGCCTCGGCCGTCGGCTCCACCCCTCGCACTCCGGGTGGTTAGTGTCCGCCGACGGCCGCGAGGGGGCGCACGCGACCCGAGCCGCTCCGGATCGCGGGGAGGGGACTAGGACCTGTACGGGTGAGCAGCGGGTGGCCGGGCGCGCGTGGCTGCGGGTGTCACTCTCCAAGGTTTTTTCTGCGGAGCTTGCCAAGCCGGGCTTTTCCTCTTCCGAAGAAGGTGCGAGCGCGTTGCGGTGTCCCGCAGCCCGGCCGGCGGGAGCAGTGCGGAGGTGCAGCGCGGCGCAGCCCGGGGTGCCGTCGCTGCAGCCCGACTCTGCCTTACCCTGTCTGTTTTTCTGGGAGCCTTGGCCTCTGAGGTCGCCACAGCAACATAAAGCAATTAACAAGGAATTTTGATCCCAGTTTTTAAAGAACAGAACCTGACAAGTGCTCTGCTGTGCGAGGCAGCCCCGGGCCGGACGGCGTGGGCCCGCCGCTGTCGCTGCGCCCTGCGGGGGCTGGAGGGCCGGGCCACGCTCCAGCGCCGGCCAGGGGCGCGGGCGGGACCCACAGGCAGGCCGTGCGCAGCGGAGGCCGCGGCAGGACTTGCGGGCTGGGGTGTTAACGGCACTCACCAGCGTGTGCCAGGCCCCGGGCCAGTCCCCAGCCCTGAAAATAAAAAGAACACGCGCACACCGTACGCTTTCGGGAAGTGAAAGTGGGCTGTGGGGTGCCCACTGCCGTGCCTGAGCGTCCCTCCAGACCCCACTCTGTGCCCAGCGTGCGCGCTGACCGCTGACCAGTCGCTTGATCCCATAGGTCCTGTGAGGACCTGAGAGCCTTCTCTCCCCAGGTTCTGGGCACACTTAATAAATATTACTTAGTGGTTGAGTGATGAACAAGAAAATATGATACTTTATTTGTGATTGAAGAATTCCCTTGCAGTAAGCCCGCCACGCGGAGAGGCTGAGGCAGTAAGATCACAAATTGTAGCTTGGCCTGGGCGACTTAGTGATTTGGTGAGACCATGTCTTGAAATAAAACCTGGAAAAGAGCTAGGAATGTATTCAGTGTGAAGGTCTTGGGTTGAATTCCCAATACTGGCAAAACCAATTTTTTTTTTTTTCTTTTGACTGTTAAACTTTGGAATGAATGGCATAAACAGTAAGTGGCAGTCCCAGGGGTTCCTTGTCAGGGGCCTTTTAGCCAGGCCTGAGGTATTTGCTGTGTTCCTGCCTAGGGTCAAGAGGTAGATTCAGTAGGTGATGAACTAACAGTTCTGAAAACCTAATTTCTTAAGTGGCCTGTGATATTTATGACTCTATATGCAAAGTTGCCAAGCAACTCTATCATGATTCTTTTCATGAAAGTGTTTATGAATTCATGTTTCAGAAACTTGCAAGTATGGCATAATAGTTAGACTCAGCTCCCTGCCAGATTGCCTGGGTCCCTGCTTTTCATTAGTAGTGTAGTGTTGGGAAAATGATTTCTACTTCCCAGAGGCCCTGCCTCTAGGACCCATTACCACAGGACTCTGAGGATCCTTGTGGAGCTAAGGATCAACCCCAGGGCCTTGTGCATGCAAGGCCATAGCTTTACACTATGGTCACAGCCCCAACCCCCTTAGCTACCTTTTCTTTCTGGATGTTCTCTTGTGGTCTCAACATTAATGGTATTATTTTCTGGTGCTGGGAATAGAATCCAGAGTTTGCCAGTATCTCCCCCCCCATTTGTATTGCTACCCTATACCAAACTCAGCATTCCCAAATGTACTGCTTTTATCAAAGTCCTCACTGTATATTCAACAAATGTTCTGCCACTGAGCTACACCCCCAGCCCATCGCGTCCCATCTAGGAGTCCTGAAGTTCTAATTATTCCATGATCCTGTCCCTTCTCTCTACACAGCTCAGGGCTTTCTCAGTTGGGTTATTGTAACAGCCTACTGTCAAGCGGTGAGGGATGTCTTAACCTCCACCTTGTCCCTTACCTTAAACCGGTGGATCCAGGGCCTCGAGGACCACACACGAGGCATGCTATCCTGTGGGGTGACTCCTGAGCCTCCTCACAGGATCTTTGACTTACACCTTTTCTGATTAAAAGTGCAATAATGGAATTTCCATAGAAAAGTACATATCTTTTAGCTGGAGTTATAAAATCTTTAATGATAGGATCCCCTATCTGTGCCTCCAGCTTTTATATTGTTCTGTTTGTGTCTGTTTGGGTACACCACCTCTTACTCATCTTTCAAGACCCTTCCAGATGTTTCTCTTCTGATTCCACAGCACCCAGTGAGATAGAGGCTGGAGGCTCTGCCCTACTCACTCCTGTACCTGGGGCTCAAGGGTGTAACCTCATTCCCTAATGTAACATTAGAGGCATTGGATAAGTCACATGAGCCTTTAAAATGTTAAAGGTGCCTTCTGTTCACTTGCTTTTTTGATCCTTCTGCTTGTCATTCAGAGCCCACTGACTAGGTGAGGATTTGCAAGTTAGAGAGTTACAGAGCTTCCCCAGCAAGGGGCAGATTCACCTGATTGCACATCCAGTATTATTTTCCCCGAGTTTGTAATCTTGGAATATGTCTATGCATCAGGACAGAAGTTGAGGTTCATCCAGTGAACACTGAAACACTAGCAACAAGTTACAAGTATGTGTCTTCTGACTGACCTTGTCACCTGTTGTCCTCTTTGCTGTGCCGCTTGCTTGCAAAAGTTAGACCCTGAATGCTGCTAACCACAGGTTGCTAACCACTGACTTACCACACATAGCTGCTCTCCCCACTCAGAGGCCAAACCCACACTCCAGGCAGCCCTGGCTGGTTAGAAGTTCATTATTATGATCAGAATACACCCAGGAGCTTCTTCTCAGCCCAGCACTCTGGGAGGCGGAAGAAGGGGGCCCAAGTCCAAGCCCAGCTCTGGGCAACTTAGTGACTTAGGGAAACTCTGTGTCAAAGACTGATGGGGCTGGGGATGTAGCTGAAGTGCGAAGGTCCTGGGTTCAGTCCCCAGTACCACCAACAGAGCACAGTAAGTCAAAAAAACCAAAAACATCCATGGCACTATGACAGACCAGACTATGCCCAAATTTCCTCTAAAAAGCTCTGATGCCAGTGTGAGCCCCACACTCTCATAATCCAGCCCTCATAAGACCCAGGTCTCAGACTTGCTCAGGGAGAAGGTGCCTCTAGAGCAGTGATGGTGAACCTCTTAGGGGTTTCAGTAGTAACAGCCCACAGTGATGCTTGTGCCATAGGTTTGCCTCCACTGCTTAGAACGTCAGTTCGCTTTCTCCAGTCAGTGGTCACCGAATCAAATTTCCTGCAAGCTCAGAGAGCTCCTGGGTTATTTGCAAATGATACTGAGTAGGAAAAGAACCTGCAGATTCAGTTACACAGGATGGCAGCATATTAAGAAGAGTAAGAGTCCACAGATACCAGTTAAGGTTCTATGGTAGGCTTTCTCAATCTCCACACTGCTGGCCTTTTAGGCTGGGTAAGTCCCCCCACCCACAGCCCTTCCTCCCTCTCCCATCCCTTTCCCTCCCTTCTCCCCTCCCCTCCCCTGCCTTCTTTTCCCCTTCCCTCCCTATACCTCTCCACTCCCTTCCCTTCCCCATACTTCTCTCCTCCCCTCCTGTTGCCTACCCATTCCTTTCTTCTCCCCTCCCCTCTCCTCCCCTCCTTTCCCCTCCCATCCCATCCCATGTCTTCCCCTCTTGTTCTCTTCATTCTTTTCTTTTCTTTTTTCTTTTTCTTTTTCTTTTCTTTTCTTTTCTTTTTTTTTTTTTTTTTTTGAGACAGAGTCTTGCTGTATAGTTCAGGCTGCCCCTTAACTTACTATGTAGCCCAAGCCTGCCACTTGTGGCAACCCTCCTGCCTCAGCCTCCTGAGTGCTGGGATTACAGGCATGCACCACCATGCCCAGCTTCTTCATTCTTTCCCTTACCACCTGCCCCATCCTCCCTCCCTGCCACAGTTTGGGGGTAGGAGGGCTGGCCTGTGTCTCTGTAGGTCACCTAGCAACATCTCTGGCTTTTGTCCTTAGATGACAATAGCCACTCCTCCCCACCTAGTTGTGACAAATGTCTCCAGATATTGCCAAATGTTGCCTCTGTGTGTGTTTGTGTTGTGATAAAAGTGTCCCCAGCTGAGAACCACTGCTGTATAAATTTAAAAGGGAGCAATTAGGACAGGAAGGCAAATGTGCCTAAATATGTGACAGATGTGCTCATGTGACCCTACATGGACTAAGAGTGCCAGAGGAAGTAAGGATAGAAAGATGTGTATGCACACGTGTGTGTGTGCACATGGAAGCAGTGTGTTAGTCAGCTCTCTGTTGTTGCAACAGCTTAAAGGCAATCAGGTTTATTTTGGCTCTTGGGCTTCAGAGGTTTTGGTTCATGGGCAGTTATCACACTGTTTTGGGCCTTTGGCGGCACTGTACATCATGGGGGCTGTGTGCAGTGTAGGAAGTCAGTTCATCTCAGAGCAGTCAGGAGTGGTGGGGAGAGAAAGGGGCCAGGGTCCCAGTATCCTTTTCAAGCCACACCCCAGTGACCTAACCTCCTCCTGCCGGGTCCCACCTCTTAAAGGTCCCACTACCTCCCAGTAGTGCCAACAAGGCTTTGACACTTTGGCCTTTGCAGGATAGATACTTCAGATTCAAACTTCAGAAGAGAGCCCAGGAAAAATTCTGGAGGAAGACAGATGGTGGGGAGGGAGTGGTGCCCTTCAGAATCCATGAGAGTAGGAAGCGCAGGCCACGGGCTGGAACAGGTGGGACTGTTGTGTGCGTGCCTGATGCATACAGAGCTATTCATTCTACTGAGCTGAATTCCAAAGAGGAGAATCACTTATTCCTTGGA